AGAACATTCTGCTACTAACCTGTGGCTTTCCATTGATAAATCCATTCCTAGCTTCCTTTAGGGAGTATAAAGCAACCTGCTGAAGCTGCCCTGCATTCTTTTCTCTGATCAGCAAAATCAGCGGGGCTGTTTCCTGTAGGGATTGTAAAGTGGTACGCCGGGAACAGAAGAGGATATTACAGGAAGCTAACAGGACTGTCTGGGCATTTTAGAAGTCCTAAATCTCCATAAAAAGATAACAATGCCATGTAGAACCCTTCAGATTGAAGGTGTTCTTTTTATAGACTTTTTAACGAAATCCCATATCCCCTGAACTAGTGTGGGATCATATATGTGATGGTTGTATCCAACTTAAAAAGCCAAGGAAATCCTCTTATCTCAGAGGAGACTGCCTTGCTCCAGTGAAACAGCGAATAAGATACAGGACTGGTCAACTCCAGTGTCTTATCAAGGACAGCATTCTTTCAGTGATCCAGATGGAAGGAAAGACCTCAGAATGCCTTTCCCATTGAGACGGTTGGCTGACAGAGCCACAGGAATGGAAGGGGATGTCTTTTTAAACTCACCCCCAACTCACCAAATCAGAGAGTCAAGCAATGGCCAGTGCAGGGTATGGGACTGCTTTCACATTTCCCTCAGAGTGGTCCAAATGCTCAAAAACAGACCCAGCTTTCTATGGTTATCATACTTCCTCTAGAAAGCTCCCATCAGCTTACATGGGGACGCTTGTGGTTTCTAACCCAGGTGCTAATCTGCTGAGATCAGGTGCTCACAGGTCATTCACTGGGCCCAAGAATAAAGGTAAAGGTAAAGGTTCCCTTGCTCGAAAGCCAGTCGAGTCCGACTCTAGGGTTGCGGTGCTCATCTCCGTTTCAAAGCCGAAGATCCAGCGCTGTCCGAAGACGTTTCCGTGGTCATGTGGCCGGCATGACTAAACACCAAGGCCGTGGAGCTCACGCTGTTACCTTCCCACCGAAGTGGTACCTATTTATCTACTTGCAATTTCTTGCTTTCGAACTGCTAGGTTGGCAGGAGCTGGAACTAGAGATGGGAGCTCACTCCATCATGCGGCAACTCGGGTCTCGAATTGCTGAACTACTGACCTTCCACAGCCTGCAGTTCAGCGTCTTAACCACTTGAGCCACCGCAGCTCCTGGGCCCAAGAATAGCCTTGGTTAAATTCAAACCCAGCAGCACATTAGAGACCAACAAGATTTTTGGGGTATAAGCTTCTGAAAGTCAAAGCTCCCTTCATCAGAAAGGAAGGTTTAAGTACCGTACGGCCCTTAGTAACAGATGCCCACAATCACTAAAATTATGGACTTCAAACACTGACGCTTCCAAACAGATCACTTCATTTTTTAAAAACAAACTATTCCTGCAATCATCTGTATGCAAATGAAGGATTGTTCCTCATGATTAACTGACATACAACTGTCTTGTAGACTCTCAGCAGTTACAATTCTTGAACTGAATCATATCATAAAGAAGCTGGGGGGGGGAGTTACTTAGGAAAAACAATTATGGCAGGGGAATAGGTCAAGGTCTCCATGGTAACAAGGAATGGTTTTTCATGAGGTTGTTTCTATTGCTTTGCTTACAGTGCAATCCTGTGCAGTTACTCCAGTCTAAACTCACAGGTTTCAATGGGCTTCAACTGCAGTAACTCTACATACTATCACACTGTTAAATGTGCAGAAAAAGACTAACATAAAAGGGGCAAACAGTTCATCGCCTCGGGCTGGCAGGACTGCCCAGATCTAAATTATCCTTAACAGATGCTCACCTAATCTCCTCCTCGAACAATCTTTATAGAGCAAGATGATCATTAAGTAGACTAATCATCATCGTGTTAGGAATGCAATATGTAGTAAGTGCCAACGCAGGCTAAGATTTTCTACTTATGAAATTTCAATTGAGAACTGCTTTGTCGTATTTCAGCTCTGGAGCAGAAATCTTCCATTGTGAAGGTGGAATACAAATGGATGTTGCAAACTGTGTCAGGAAAGCAATTTAAGCTTTTCCTGAGAATGGGGTTGGTGAAAAAGATGACACTTTGCCAGTCTTTTAAGCACAGACAGCTCCATTATCTTTTAAATACAACTTTACTCATAGTGACAAAACCTGTCATTGCAATGGGTTTCTAAGGAACCTGGATTGGGGATTGTTTCAGCTCAGGCTCACTGTGATAAGGGCAGAAGCCACCGTTCTTGTAGGACTCAACACATACCCGACTGGTTTGTAAGCTACACAGAAGACACAGAATATCACCATCTAAGGGCCAGTCTGATAAGTAATCTACCCTGGACCAACAGTCAAGTCCTAACCCTTGAAAAAAAGAACTGTAAAAATTGATTTTTATGAAGTTCACAAGTTTTGGCAGGGTGATAAATTTAGATCAAGACCGTTAGGCTCTGAAGACATATGAAGGATTAGGTACAATAAAATATTTTGGCTTTTCCACTAATAACTTAATCCAATAAAAGATGTGCATCCCTAATCTAAAACCGCACAACTACGCCAGGGCTGCTGACTGCACACTCTTTGTCAATCATGACAGCACTGGTGGGCACGCTATACAGACTGGGGTATCAAGTGTTCCACGAACATCACCACTACAATGCCGTGAACAGGAGAGAGCTTGCATGCCTGAATTCATTGCGCACACTAGAGCTCCCACACACAATGAGGGAGCAGAGCATGCCTCTGTAAAATTACTCAGTCATACTTCTTAGCATAGCAAAGAATAAATGCCAACAGTATAGTCAGGCTACGTGAGCATCCCAAATCCACCATGCCCTACCAGTAAGCTGATCTGTTGATATATTTCTGTTGCAAAGGAAATGGTAATGTAGGAACAGAATGAAGGCACTGGAAACTGATATACATTGCAGTAAAAGATGGCTGTCCTAACTAGGGGACACTGGGGAGTTGTTTTGGTTAATCCCGTTTTTTGACATGCTTTGTTTTTCCTAATTCAAACCAGAGTGGAAGGTATGGGATCTGATTTTGTTTTGTTTACCTTTCAAAGCAGAAAAAAAATCTGGAAGGGCAATACTAAAAGGGAAGTTTGCTAAAGCACCTCGCACACAGACAAATGGAGTTTCTTCTGTTTCAACAGGAATGTTGTAGTAACAGCAAAGCAGAAACTATTCCTATGACTGCTTGCTTTGAACAGTAAGACTGCCAGCATTTCCACATTATAGAAACGATCTTCCCCCCAGTAAACAAGCACACATTTTCACTGGGAGTCTCATTTTCAGGAAAATGTCACATTATTTTGTTGTGAAAATATAAGAGGGGTGAAATAGCACATGCTTAATACACACCCCCCACAGGAAAAAAAAAAAGACCTTGGAAATTTTACTTACACGGATAACGCTAAACTCTCTGTGCATGCAGAATCTGTGAAGCAAGAAAGGGTGGAGGGCAGAAATAGTGGAACCAACAGCACTTCAAATGAAGGCAGATATACCACAGTCCAAGAAACTCTTTTGTGAACACCAGCACGGTTAACCTTCATGTGTGTTTCCCCAGAAGCTATAACTTAACAACGGAAAAAGCAATTTTCTCTCTTTACTCACAGAAAGCTGTTCTCACGGAAAGGGCATGCTCAGATGAACCAATCAAATTTTTAGCCAAGTTTATGAGCTCTGAAACCATCAGCAAATTAGGAAAAACTTTATTTAACTCTTTAGGTTCTGTGCAATACGACTAGGAGCTCATGAGGAAGAAAACATAACAGAAATTTGAAGCACTAACACGAACACGTTTTTAAAAGACCCCTATATCCTGCTGCACTATGGTGCTTCATTACATACCCATTTTTCTTAAACTTAAGCTCTTTGGCAAACTGGATATATTTCTGCATGTGCAGGGAAGAGAAGCATGCAGCTCTCTGAAAACAGTTAACCAGGGATCTGATTCCCAAAAGAGTTCTGACAGAACAAGCCTGGGTTTTCACGCTTTCAGTCCAATCTTTTTTAAACTTGGAGGGGGGGGGGTGTTTGAGGAGAGGCACCAGCAGCTATGCTGCCAATTTGGTGCCTCTACCTCAAAAAAACAGCCCCCCCCCCACATACCCCTGGACCTACTCCATTACAGCCTATGGAACCCATTGACCTTAATGGTTCCCATAGACTATAACTGAGCCAGAAAAAAATGATTTTTTTAATGCTTTTCAGTATGTTTTGTAAGCTGCCTTGAGTCACAGGGGAAAGTGGGATGTAAATATCTGAATAAATAAGTAGTTTGGGCGGGTTGGTAACATTTGAACAACTTCCTGCTTGTTAGGTTAGGTTAGGCAGTGTTCTGACAGGGATTGTTCCTCCTCTGTTATACTTGACCTGTAATACTGGCTGTCATATTTCACTAAAAAATCCAAAGTAGACTGCAAGAGTCCCCCCCCCCCTTCAAGTGAAGAATTCAAGTGCTGGTATGTTTTCTAAGGGTCAGCACAGGGCTCCGGTCCAAAGCCAGGTCTACAAATATAGCGGACTGGGGCGGGTATACCTGTTCTCCAGAGGCCAGTTCTACCAAGAGTGGACTGGGGTGGATAGACCTGTTCTCTGGGGGCCAGGCCTACCAATATAGTGGCCTGGGGTGGGTAGACCTGTTTTCTGGAGGCCAGGTCTACCAATATAGTGGGACTAGGGCAGGTAGTGCTGTTCTCTGGAGGCCAGGTATACCAATATAGTGGAAAGAGATGGGCAGACCTGTTCTCCTGAGGCCAAGTCTACCAATATAGTGGAAAGTGGCAGGTAGACCTGTTCTCTGGAGGACTGGTCTAACCCTGTATAGGACAACAGTTTGTGTAATGAAATTTGACTTCTGTTTTCTCTTATATTGTTTAAATTATTCTTAAAATATAGTTTAAATATAGTTTAAAAGAATTCATTCTGAGATTTTTACAAGGTAATGGAAATAATCTAAAAATAATTTATACAATAGTCAAATGTAAAATGCTCACTTTAATCCTACTACGTTTTTTCACTCACAAGGTAGAATTTCTGCTCACAACCCTGTGGAGCTTAGAGGGAACATGGGCTCTATCTTGTCCATGCAGCATGGACAATGTCAAGAAGACCCAACGACAAGAACTAAGGTAATGATGAGCTTTAAACTGCTGCCACTTCTAGCTTTTTTTTTTGGTCAACAAGTCATAGCTGACATGGCAACCCCATATGGTTTTCAAGCCAAGAGACAAACAGAGGCGGTTTTGTCACTGCCTGACTCTGCACAACAGCCCTGGTATTGCTTGGTGGTCTCCCATCCAAATACTAACCAGGGCCAACCCTGCTTAGCTTCCAAGATCTGGTAAGTTCAGGTTAGCCTTGGCTATCCAGGTCAAGGCCAAGTAAAGCTAAACATCATATAGGAAGTCCCCAGTGCAGGGAAGGAGGATTGCATGTTTTCACCTTTTCTTTGTATCCTTGTCAACCCAATAGCTTTAACAGAACATGGGCATTATTTATTAATTTATCAAACTTTCTTGTATTTTGAATGCTTTATCTGAATGCTCTGGAAATGCACCGCACTGGTCTTGCTATCTGATGTGTGGCAATGGAGAGGAGCAGCAGGTCAGCTCACCATCCCTGGAGCACGATAGCTTGAATGTGCAGATTTGTGGTAGATCACCCCGATGCTAGATTGTGGAGCTAAGTGGGCAGGTGCAGCAACTAGGCAGTGCCTTTAAATGGCAACACAGGTACAGAGTGTTAGATGTACGACTCCATTTAGCAGAGTTGTTGGTGGCAGTGGGTACCCAGTCTGCTTTTGGAACCCTGAGGAATGTGGGGAAGGGCTGATGTTGCCAGACAAACGCTTGGGACAGCCATGGGGGGTTTTCTGACCTGCTGGGGGACAACCAGAAAGAACACAAAGAGTTTGCAAGTCCATTGCTTCATACACCCTGTGCTGCATTCCACACCATTCCCAAGGATTCTCTAAACACTTTTCCAAGTGGCCCACCATTCTTCAAACTCTACTCTAACCTGCAGTTCTTTAGGTCCAAGCCAATATTATTTCCAAACCACAGCTAAAGTACCTGATGTGCTTCCTTAAAAGTCTTGATAGCAGCTGGATAGCAATAACACTACAGCACAGGAAGTGGCGGCGGCTACAAGCATGGACGGCTTCAAAAGGGAATTAGATAAGCATATGGAGCAGAGGTCCATCAGTGGCTATTAGCCACAAGGTATAGATAGGGACTCTGGGGCAAGTGATGCTCTGTCTTCTTGGTGCTTGGGGGGGGGGGTAAACAGTGGGAGGGCTTCTAATGTCCTGGCCCCACTGGTGGACCTCCTGATGGCACCTTGGTATTTTTGGCCACTGTGTGACAGAGTGTTGGACTGGATGGGCCTTTGGCCTGATCCAACACTGGCGTCTCTTATGTTATGTTCTTATCAATTTTCAAAAGCAAAATAAATTACTAGAGTCCTTTGACCTCAAACATATGAATCTCCATGGTCTTCACTTTTCTTTCAGTAGCTGCTAGCAAACCCCATGAATCTGCAGAAGGAAGAATTTTTAGCAAAATGTGAATACGGTTTGGTCCTTGGTGCCCACCTCCTAAAGATGCATGTAGCTGGGAAAGCATTCAGTGACAAGTGTGATGGGCATCCTGCATGAGGCAAGTAAGGCAAATCCTGCCTGTCATACTGTGTTGCAACTATAATCCCAATTTAACACCTCGTTACTAAATAGTAGGCATGCCGTGACACGCTGGCATGGCTTGGCATGGGGGTGGCTGAGAAGTCGTTCAGACAGTGTGTAAAATGCTCTTAAATCTGCTCCGCCCCAACCCTGCCGGCGGTGGTGTCATGTGCCAACTACACATGCCTGTAGCAGTGGATCCTGGCAGGGCAGCATTCACTCATTTTGGTGTACCAAGATCTGATGCCTGCTGTTGTAACATCACTGAACCATCCAAGGCTACCCATGTAGAATGTGGGCTGTGACGCTGCAGCATGTTGCTGGGGGCTATTGTCTGTTATAAGCAAGATTTGCTTTACGTTTAGAGAAAATGTTTTCCTGGTGCATAAAGGAGAGATGTTATCCCATTGAAAGATGGAAGAAGTTACAAGCTGAGAAACGGAGACATTTCCTGGAAAATAATACTCACAAGGACCTACAAAAGATTAATCAAAACTTCTGGGAAAGGCATTTCTCATCTTTTGAACTGTGCTTTAATTAAAATTTTTAATAGAAGCATCTTCTGGCTGAAGTTAATAGGTAAATAGGGTATGATGAGTATGAAGTATCCCTCTTGCTCAATGGCATGCTAATCAATCAAGAGTATTTGTGAATCATTGTTCTTTGAACTGATTGTCTTGTTTCTGGTGAATGAGCTTGTGTATTATGTTTATAATACATGACCTAAAGGCTAACTTATGTGTTCCAGACCAGAATATCAAGTGAATAGGGGGGAAAAACCCATGGGAAATATTTTTTTCTTCTGTACCTGGCAATAAATCACCTTGAATAAAGCTGACCAAGCTTAACCTACCACACAAAATCTCCATGATGGTCTGTGACTCTGAGCATTTTTATTTAGAGAATCCTGGAAGGCTAACAGTTGGGGACCCTACAATGCCAGAACATGATACTTTATAGAAACCTAGTACAACCCCCTGTTATGCTGTTGAGAAAATGGCTGTGTCCCACCTTGATTGCTTTTCAGGGCAATTTCTAATACGCTCAGACGTTCACCTACTCTTAGAGCTTGGAGAGCTGCATTTTTTTTTTAAAGGGTTCATCCGGACAATGCTGCCTTTGAATAATGGAAGTGACACAATTCTCTGGACGTAAGCTACGACCCATATGCATATTCTCTCCATCATAGTTTCATGGCAGGTTTATAGCGCTAAATGACGTATCTATAAAAAGCAGGCAATGCAGAAAATGCTATCACGCCGGCACTTATTGCGGCATGGAATACTGGAGAAAGTGGTCCAGTACACACACACACACACACGCCACACACACACAAGCATATCAGCTGGGGGGGAACGAAGTGAGGGTGTTAGTCCACCCATAAGCTCAGCTTCCTGGAGATGGAGAAGGAGAAGCCAGGAGGTTTGGAAGAGAGCAAGGGAGGATAGCCATGCTAACTAGCTGAACCTTTCCAATCTCTTATCTTGTAGGCCCTGCTCAGAACTATCAGCTGATCAGCTTCACCTCTTCCCATCAGGTTGGCTACCGCAGAAGAACAGGACAGACATTTACCCAAAGAGCTGGAGCTACATAGCTAAGGATTTCTAAAAAGGGCTTTAAACTGAGGGGCAAAAAGACAAGACTGCAATCCAGTAAACTCCGTGGAATATAGTGAAACTTGTATCCACTATATTATATTTTACATTATATATGTGCTTTAACACGGGACTTACTTTTGAGCAGACCCACTTCAGATGGCTGCCTATGACTACTAACATGCATGAGGGCATTCTAATATCAGTCTGATCACTAGAAACCCGACCATGCAGAATTTGCTTTGTAAAGAGAGGCAACTTCACCTCTAACCATTCACTGCTTCTAAGTTCTTACATACTTATTAGAGATTTTAAGTACTTAACAAGAGATGCAAACATGTGGCTTGACTGAAGGAACACCTGAAGCATGATTCAAGGAAAAGTCTTAGACGATCATCATTATAAAGGCATTTGTTGAAAGAAATTAGGTAATGTTTCACAGAACAGAATTAACCAATATTATGCAAACATAGCACAAGAAATACAGTAAACAGAAAGTTGACATAGATTTAAAAAGATATCTGCTCTAATAAGGATCCATTCAGGTGAGCTACTATGATAGATGCATTAGAAGTATGGTTTGGTGCAGGGCACCGAAAGAAAAATGCTGCCAACAAATTTGTGTTTTCAATGTGCAACTGACATCTAACAATTTCACATAATAGCACAGTAGGTATGTTAAGTCCTCCTGCTAATTTCACTCAGGGCCCAGAAGACTTACCAACATTATTACCAGATTTATTATCAAATTAGCAATTGTATTTTACTTCAAAAATTAACTCACCCTGAAAGAACAGCAAATCAAATTTCTAAATGCTAATGTACCACATAAAGCACATATTTTTTTAAAAAATTAAATGCTAGGGATGTTCATTTTGAATCCCATTAGGCTGAAATGAATCAACGTGTATGAAACTGCTGTGTAATAAGATCAGACCCCCAAGTCTATCCAAGGTCAGTCTCGTCTACTCTGAACTGCGGTGGCTTTCCAAGGTCTTTAACATTACCTACTACCTGATAACTTGGACTGGAGATGCCAGCAATTTAACCCCTGGACTTCTGCACGCAAAGCAGATCCTCTTCTGCTGAGCAAAGACTAGCTCAGTGACTCCGACTGGGAGATCTCAAGGGAAGAGCCTGAGGAGCTGAGGCCAGTGGCCAAGAGAGGCCAGGAAGGGCCTGGCACTGCAGAGGTGCCTGCTGACAATGCCCAGCAGTGCCAGAGGCCACCTGCTAAAACCTGCGAGGAAGACCGTGCCCACCAGCCACTGAGATAACCACCATGCGGGAGACAAACCAGAGCCCAGAGCCCTCCAGGACCTGCTCCCTCTCTGCAAAAGTGGTGGTAGAATGAGGCAGCACAAAAGAAGGTGCTGTGCCCCAGACTGGCAGCACACAATCCCACCACTGACCTCTGAGTGAGTGTAATACTTCCTTGCCAGGATCCTGGCCAGAGCATGATTCAAAATGTCTGTATTTTCACAATTTATTTTAGGGGATGCTTGCCACCTTCTACTCATAATGCTTCCCCTCCCCCCCCAGACAAAAGCAGACAGCTTCTGCAGCTCCTGAATAACCACCACCTTTTTCATTTGATTTACTGGGCGTGAGCAATTAGCACCCTTGTGCTAATCTCAATGGGACTTATCAGCCTTTCATTCAGTGGACTAGGCCATCCTGTTGAAATGTATGGAAATAGAAGCAGGGATCCAGAGATGTGCTTTGCATTGGTTGAAACCATTCTTTATTGGCACATCTCATTTCACCATGGTTGGGGACACAGGGTGGTGCCTGGGGAGAGAGCTTCACCATGCTACCCTCTGGTATGTGGCATCCTGCAAGGGGTGATTCTCTCCCCTATACTATTTAACATCTATATGTGCCTCCTCGCCCAGCTGGTCTGGGGTTTTGGACAGGGCTGCCATCAGTATGCTGATGACACCCAGTTATATTTGTTGACGGATGGACAGCTGAACTCTGCCCCAGATATTTTGGGCAAAGGGTTGGGAGCCTGTGGCTGGGTGGTTAAAACAGAGTCGACTGAAGTTAAATCCAGTGAAGACTGAGGTCCCGTGTCTGGGCTGAGGGGGGCATGGGGATCCAACTCCCAGCTCTTGACGGGGCACTGTTAACATCAGCGCCAACTGTGAAGAGTTTTGGCATGACTCTGGATGCCTTGTTACTGTCAAACCTTGCTCTGCTTAGTTTGCAATAGATGCTGGGGGGGAGGGCACATTCCTGAGGGGAGGGGATGCAGTGTGAATGGGAACCTTTCATTGTAGAGGCAGTAATTTTCCTTAAGACACCTTCCTCTCACAAAGCAACGACCTTGAGCCTTTCTGTGCCAGCTTACGCTTAAAGGGATCGTATATTCCCAAGAGGGGGGGTCAGCAACAGTTAGATGGGATGAGTGTGACGCGTGACTGGTTGGGGGGGGGAAAACGGTCTTGTCTATACCTATATCTGCTAAAATTAAGCGCCAAAATCACAAGTTCTAACATGGTTCTGTTCTGAGCTGGATCTTGCCTATATCTCAATAAACATATCACTGCCAAAGAGAGTGTTGTTGAAAGTAACTTGACCAGGAGTCTGACAGTTACCAATGGAGGCCCAAGTTGTGAATGATGCCAGGTCAACATTTCACCATCTTTGCCAGGTCAGGCAACTGGTTCCCTACCTCTGCCCCCACGACCTAGCTACAGTGATCCATGAAATGGTCACCTCCAGGTTGGATTACTGTAACTCGCTTTACACTGGGCTTCCCTTGAGACTGACATGGAAGCTACAACTGGTCCAGAATGCAGCGGCGTGTGCTCTCACAGGGACACAATTGAGAGCACACATACACAGATATACATGGGAACCAGATTGGTGTAGTGCTTAGGAGTGCGGAGAACTGGGTTTGAGTCCCTGCTCCTCCACATGCAGTTGCTGGTGTGACCTTGGGTCAGTGATGGCTCTCTCAGAGCTATTCTTGGAAGAGCAGTTCTCTCAGCCCCACCTACCTCACAGGGTGTCTGTTGTGGGGAGGGGAAGGGAAAGGAGGTAAGCTGCTTGGACACTTCTTCGGGTAGTGAAGGGCAGAGTATAAATCCAATCTCTTCAACCAGTGCTCCACCAGCTGCACTTACTTCCAGTTGAATAGCGCATCAGGTTCAAGGTGCTGGTTTTAACTTTAAAAGCCCTCTGCAGTCTGGGATCAACATACCTTCAGGACCGTCTTTCCCAATACGTCCCCCAAAGGACATTACGTTCTATAGACCAACACCTACTGGTGATCCCCAGCCTGAAGGAAGTCCGCCTAGCCTCGACAAAGGACAGATCTTTTTCAGCTCTCGCCCCTGCCTGGTGGAACAGTCTCCCAAGTGAGATCCGGGC